ATATACTTAATTATAGATTCAAAGTAAGTTTAAAAGATCGTTTTTATGACAACTCACTTTGTATACGAAAATTTAAAAAATGTAATTCTTATTATGATTGGCTGATTTTAGGGTCAAACCAAATCGGTGCATATGTGTACTACAGTAGTTTGTTTTGATTGACTGTCACGTTATATCTGATCTGATGCGGGTGTGCTAACAAAAATATCCTCTTTCACTTCTTTCCACCTCTTACTTTCAATACAATTTGAAGTATAATTAATAATCACGATGGATAGAGTCCGTTTTCACAACGATGATAACGGACAACGTTCAATACGTTTTTTTTTTTTTGGTTTGTAATGCAACAAAGTTTCTACGTTCATTTGAATTCTTTTTTTTTTTTTAGGTATGATACGTACGACGTTTCGTTACATGTTTTTGATACGCTGTTACGCAACGACATTTCATTACGTTTGTTGAGTTCATTTTTACGTTTTTGTTATGTTTTTTGGGTTGGTAAGTTCGTTACGCGTTGACATTTTAATACGTTTTATACGTTCGTTAGGCTTTTTTTTTTCTGGTTTAACGTAAATCAAAACAAATAATTTAAATTTTAAATTTAACAATTCTTTGCTTATTTTTAATATATTGATAACACGGATTGTATTGTGAAAAATTTAATCCACAATCTAATCTGACATCAAGCAAAGGTTATGGAATATGGACTTTGAAGCATTGATGAGGTCTTAGGGATTGAAAACGATAATAATTAGCTTTAAAAAAGCTATACAATAAATATCAAATGCCAATACTGTATTAATTAATAAATATAAAAAAAAACAATTCTCAATAATTTTTTTATAGTTTCTTGTTTTATCACATGTATATAAAGTTTATCAGTTTATATTTTAATAGTTTTCAAAATATAAACCTATCGCGTGGCTAGTTTATATTTTATCAAGTTTGGTCACGAGTATTTTCGGCATCACTATTACCAGAGGTTGGAATAAATTTTGATTTTCGATAATATTTTTTATATTCAAAATATCCAGCAAATGGTAAGACTCCAACTATAAATCCACCTATGGCAATACCAATATATATTCAAATATTAGGAGTAGTTTGAACCGAAATAGGAGAACTTGTTGCTGTAAGTGTATTAGCAACACTAGCACTAGCAGCAGTAAAAACTGTGAAAGTTCCAGAGAGCTTATTACCAGATCCATTATTGAGACCAATATAATATGTACCCGCGGGAACATTGACCGTCCATTGGTAAGATTGAACAGAAAGGGTTATTGAACTGCTAATTGTATCTGCCCAAGTGATTGTAATAGTAGCGCCTTGTACAACATTACCAGGCATTGATTGATAAAACCTCTGAAATTATATAGGTAAAATGTTAAAAAACTTATACTTAAATTCGAATAAATTAGCCAAAATAATTAATGTTAAGAAGATAACATCTTAAATGGCATGCAAAAATAAATGCAAATTCAACTTACGGGCTGAAATAGACTAAATAAAAACTAATAGTATTGTAAGAAATAAATAAATTGTAATACGTATCAAGATTACGGGGGATTAGTAATAAAAAACTTTACTAATTTAAGTCAACAGAATAATCCCTAAATTGATACGTACGTATTATCACACCCCTATGTAGATTACTTTTTTTAAAAAAACTTTGAATAACTAAATTCAATGTAATAATCGTAATCCAGTAAATACTCAAAAAGGATAAAATTAATATCTCATAACTCCATAAAGGTAATTAATAAAAATGACAAAAATAGCATACATAACAATAATACGTACTGAACTTTTTAATTTAGATTCTATGAATTCCATTAATTCAAATAAAAATCTAATTTGGTCAGGCGGTTGTTGAGATACTTTCGATCATCGAATTTGGTCAGGTGGTTGATACTTATAATTTTGATTGAAAGTATCTCAACAACACCTAACTAAATTTTATGAAATTTTTTTATTTGAATTCTTGGAATCCATAATCGAGATAACTTTCTATCAAAGGTTTAGAAAATTTCAAAAATATATCGAGAGACCGTGAAAAACTTTTTATGACTTTTGATCGAAGGTATCTTAACAACCACTCAACCAGAATCCATAGAATCCAAATAATAAAAAATTTAATTACGGTATTTTCAAAGTTTAAAAAAAAGTGATCAACATAGGGGTGTAGCAATATTAATTTAAGAGTGTGGAAATACCCGTTCCCTAAGTGAAAATATATAAAATAACTTTTTTACTACGTATAAATAATATCGGAAAATCGGAATAACGGAATAACGGAAAAATTGGAATAAATTTGAGTAGGCGTAAGTATGTGCACACAAAAATAAAAAGTAATTATTTCATGACATTAAAATAGTATTATTTTATTAAATTAATTAATTAATTAATTATACGTCTATTTTTATATTACACATAGATGTTTCTATAATTGTGCTTATTTTTGTAAACTAATTATTCTTATGCAGTAATTTTAATAAAAAATTCGAATGTTTTTACAAAGAAACCCCTCAAAAAAATGAATGTACGAACATCAAATCAAAAAAAAATAAAAAGAGTTTAATTAAACGTATCAAACCCAAAGAAAATAAACGCAAAACGTCATTGCCAACGAAACTTCAACGCGTTGCATTTAACTCGGATAAACGAACATCAGCGTTTTCACTATATCGATATTAGTGGATAAAAAGAACGTTTCCGAGCGTAGGGGTTGTGTTCCCTTGGTGGGTAGGTATTAAATCCTCGTCGTTAGACAATAATAAGAATATATCGATATCATATATATATATAACCTCCAAGTACAGAGTAAACTACCTATACCCCCAGATACAGGATAAACTACCTATACTCCCCGGTATAGGTCAAGTTTTCTCTTTTACAAATACGTTTGCCAAATGTTATGATTGTTTGCCAAATGTTATGATTGTTTGCCAAATGTTATGATTGTTTGCCAAATGTTATTGTATGTCAAATGTTTTTACTTGCCAAATATGATAGGAGCCAGCTATCTAATAAAAAAAAATAGGATATCGAAAGCCCTTTTAAATTTTCGATTTACGTTTTTGCCAAAGAGAAAGTTTTGCCAGTTTATGTTAACTCAGAAATTCAGATTTTTATTTAAAAGGGGCCTCCTTCGAATAAAAATAGCGAAAATTCGTTATGGGGAATATTTGGCATTGGAGGAGGAGGAGGCTGAGGAATAAGTAAAAGAGGAGGAGGGGGGGATCGACCGAGATTACGAAACTGCGGAGATAAAGACATTGGCTTTATTTATCGTTAATATATCTATGCGATTTTAGTTGCGGGCTTGTGGGACGAAATTGACAATTTAATAAAAATTTTTTAAATATTCAATTCTAAAAAATTTGAATTCTGTTACGTATGATTTATCGTTATAAAAAGTTATTTTTTCGAAAATATATTTTGTCAATCCCGTCCTTTTCTCAGCACTCATCCCTTATTTTTATAATGTTTTTTGGGAATATATTTGAAAAAATATTCCGTTATTCCGTGTTTTAATCGCTTTGTTTTTTTTTTTTTTTTTTTTCCTAAAAGTACACAACCGCATGATTACCGCAAATCCAATTTACCGCTACCAATAACGAATTTACCCCTTTTTTCCGATATTTCTTGGCTGTTTTGCAAACATACTGTATTATCTTTTAACATAAATAATAAAATGAATGATCTAGAAGCTCCTTCAGAAGAGTATCAAATGGATACTCTATACATTGAACAAGAGAGGGAAGGGCTACTAACTGGAAGGTTCTCAAGAGAGTCGCAAGACGAAAACCCAGTTGAGGTATCCGATCCGTAAAAGCAACTGTTTTTTCCTTTATCGCCAAACATTGTTTTGATATTTAAAAATTATAATAGGCTCGTTATAAGTTCTTTCTTCGGGTTTTTATGATAGTCATTCTGATCACAATACTTATGGGCACGATTCTTGTAGTATTATACCCTCCTAGAAATCGTAACTCACTGATGACTCCTGCTTTTTTTAATGGATCTCATGATTTTTATCCCACTATACTTTTAGTATCGTTCGATGGATTTAGAGCTGATTACTTGGATAGGAATATTACTCCCACATTAAATAAACT